GTCTCATAAACATGCAAGATTTCAGGTACGTCTTGCTACTTCTACTTACACTTAGGTCACACTACACATACATGTACAAGCATATATATACACACCCCTCTGGGTTTTCTTCTATTTTCTTTCTAGTTCTTATTCTTGTTTATTTCCTCTTATCTCCAAGGGGAAGTGGAACAGAATTCTTCCTCCGTAAGCCATGCGTGTTGTAAGAGGCGACTAAAATGCCGGGAGCAAGGGGCTAGTAACCTCTTCTCCTGTATATATTACTAAATGTAAAAGGAGAAACTTTCGTTTTTCCTTTTGGGCCACCCCGCCTCGGTGGGATACGGCCGGTGTGTTGAAAGAATATATATGTTCTAGGTAGTAGGCTGGTAGACAGCAACCGCCCAGGGAGGTACTACCGTCCTGCCAAGTGAGTATAAAGCGAAAGCCTGTAATTGTCTTACATGATGGTAGGATTGCTGGTGTCCTTTTTTCTGTCTCATAAACATGCAAGATTTCAGGTACGTCTTGCTACTTCTACTTACACTTAGGTCACACTACACATACATGTACAAGCATATATATACACACCCCTCTGGGTTTTCTTCTATTTTCTTACTAGTTTTTGTTCTTGTTTATTTCCTCTTATTTCCATGGGGAAGTAGAACAGAAATCTTCCTCCGTGGGCCATGCGTGTTGTAAGAGGCGACTAAAATGCCGGGAGCAAGAGGCTAGTAACCCCTTCTCCTCTATATATTACTAAATGTAAAAGGAGAAACTTTCGTTTTTCCTTTTGGGCCACCCTGCCTCGGTGGGATACAGCCCGTGTGTTGAAAGAAAGATATATATATGTGTACTCGCCTAGTTGTACTCACCTAGTTGAGGTTGCAGGGGTCGAGTCCAAGCTCCTGGCCCCGCCTCTTCACTGGTCGCTACTAGGTCACTCTCCCTGAACCGTGAGCTTTATCATACCTCTGCTTAAAGCTATGTATGGATTCTGCCTCCACTATATCGCTTCCCAAACTATTCCACTTCCTGACTACTCTGTGGCTGAAGAAATACTTCCTAACATCCCTGTGATTCATCTGTGTCTTCAACTTCCAACTGTGTCCCCTTGTTACTGTGTGTGTACTCACCTAGTTGTACTCGCCTAGTTGTACTCACCTAGTTGTACTCGCCTAGTTGTACTCACCTAGTTGAGGTTGCAGTGGTCGAGTCCGAGCTCCTGGCCCCGCCTCTTCACTGATCGCTACTAGGTCACTCTCCCTGAGCCGTGAGCTTTATCATACCTCTGCTTAAAGCTATGTATGTGTGTGTGTGTGTGTGTGTGTGTGTGTGTGTGTGTGTGTGTGTGTGTGTGTGTGTGTGTGTGTGTGTCGTGCCGAATAGGTAAAACGGATCAATTAGCAAGAACTCATTTTAAAATTAAATCCTTTCAAAAATATTTTCTCATACGTTTAAAGATACATTTTTTCAGTTATGCAAAACTTAATAGTTTTTGTACCAAAAGAACCTTATTATAACAAGCGCAATTTAATTTAGCCTAATCCAACTAAATACATTTTAGATAAGTTTACAATAATTTAATTTAATAATAAACAAACACAATAAAATGCATGTTTTTCGTTAGGTTCAGAATTATTTTTGCGAAATTACTGCATACACAAATTTTTGCTTGCCTTATTCGGCAAGACGAGCGTTGCTATTTAAGCCAAAATCGCAAGTTTTACTTATTCGGCACGACACATATATAAGACAAGCCACGGGGATGGAAATCTTCAGCTTAAGATCTTTTACACGCCTCCGTGCGTCATCAGGAGCTATGGAATGTTGCAAGAAAGCAACGGGTAGATTGAGAGGATAAAGTAACGTGGTGACGCCAACCAGTTACTCTCAGAAATGGTTAGGACTCAGGCACCGTTCATGACCCAGGCTTCCTGTCTGCTCAACCTCCCCCCATGTGGGGTAGGGTAAGTGGAGGGGGGCCTCTAAGATTTACAGAAAGCGGGAAACACAATAATAAAAGATTTAATAGACAGCCCTAAGCTACATCTAATCGTCATAAACAAGCCATGTACACTAGTGGATAATACATATACAAAACACTGAAATTATGTGTAAATCTACTAATTAATAAGAGTCGAATGCTCTAACTGTCAACTTAAACTAACGTGCGTCCAGGAAGGTTCTAGAAGGTTCTAGGTAGTGTTCAGAAGAATCTCTTCATACATTCTTAAATGCTGGCTTTAGATTTCCTCGATTTGAGTTATTCCGAAATTGCTTAAGGTTGTGCACAGTGGATTCCACTAAATAGGTATCTAGTTTGTAGACCAGATAACTTGAATTAAGGAATTTCTATCATGTTTCAAGAGTGAGGATTCAATTATGTTCCATTCAATCAGCAACCTTTGCAACTTCTCTTGGGAATCTTAACTGGGAAAGATAATCTGTTTTAATTCACACTTTGTATCTAATTCCTTATCTTTAAATCCTGCACTTTTTTCCCAACTCGGTAGAGATCGCATTTAAAACCTTTTCACTAAATATGTTAAGCAACCATAGTGACATTACACATTCTTGTCCAAGCTCTGATTTTACTAGAGATCAATTTCCCTCTCTCTCTCTTTGCCGAGTCTCACTATTTCCACATAAAACTTATTCCTTCTAGTAACCTGGTACCAGTTCCATACATACCCAGTTTCAGCTATCTCAACTTTCAAATATCTTTTCTAAATCCACAAATGTAACTAGAAAAATCCAAACCTTTATCTAGGCACTGTTCACTCCAATGCTTCATAGTAAACATCTGGTCTACACATTCCCTACTCTTCTTAGATACTTCTTATTTATAAACCATACCACAGGCGGGATTTGAACCCGCGGTCAGAGAGTCTCAAAACTCCAGACCGTCGCGTTAGCCACTAGACCAGCTAGCCACAATAAGATTCGATCAACTAGGTATATTTCTACACCATAGGAAGGTTAGCATAGGCCTATGCTAGCCTTCCTATGGTGTAGAAATATACCTAGTTGGACGAATCTTATTGTGGCTAGCTGGTCCAGTGGCTAACGCGACGGTCTGGAGTTTTGAGACTCTCTGACCGCGGGTTCAAATCCCGCCCGTGGTATGGTTCATTCTTGTTTATATTTTGTCCTGCTTTCAGTTTTACCCAAAACTCATTTAAAGTTACGTGGCATTCACTTTGAAAAATACGTATGAGAGTCACGGTCCCTTGTAATTCTTACATTTACTACCATCCAATTTTCCATTAATCACGTTCTTTAATATATGCAAAATTATGTGTATTAAACACACTGTCGTTAAGAGGGTTTCTAAGGGCTGCCAAAGGGCTCTTGATGCAAAGAATTGGAGCTACTTTCACAAAGAATGCATTAGCACGAGTATAAGTGTTGTGTGACCCCCTACGGTTTAACGCTTCCACGCGAGAGTAATACTAGTAGCAAACACGTCCACAGGCCGAAACAAACAAGATTTCAAAGGAATATTCACACTAATTCACAGAGGGATACTCACGGGGATGATTACAGGTATATTTGTTTACTACCAAGTAATTTGAAGACAAAGCTACATCACGTTTCGCCCCATATTGGTGTATTATCATACTGATGCATAATTAACTAGCTTTATGGATGACTAAAGTATAATGAACACTTGTCAATGCTCAGTAATAATCCACAGAGAGACAGAAGCTCAGAATATTAATTGATTCAAATGTTTCTAACCCTTTCCGGGTTCCTCTTCAATTTTCTATATGAGAATGGTCTTGGACTGACCATTATCATGTAGTTAATGGTCTTGGACAGACCGAAACATCGGTAAGTAGATTAAAGTTGATGAACATCAGAAGAGAGATATGAGGGACTCAAATGCACATTATACTTTTATTATTTATATTCATGTAAAAGCCCTTAGCTTGTCGAGTTAAAACAGCATCTGGGAAATAAGATACAATCATGTTTGATCCAGAGAAAAGAAAGGTAGCTCCAGTTACTGAGATCAAGAGCTCTTCACTAAGGAAAAATAGACACAAATGCAGTATAATGCGATCCTTTATTGACTACGTTTCGCCCACACAGTGGGATTTATTATGTAACAAACAGATCAACCTGAGCAGGGTGTAAGTGAGTATATATATGGTGGAAAGTGACGTGAAGAGTCAGGTGAGGAATGTTGAGAAGGTTGGATATGACAAGGACCTGCCCTGTATGGGCAAGTATATTGTTATGTAGGATAACGTTGATGAAGTTTCCTGGTAAAGGATTCAGCTATGTTGTAAAAGCCGTTGTTCTGGCTGATAAAGGATCGCATGAAACTGAATTTGTGTCCGTTTTTCATCGATATTGTATACCATTTATCACCAGTCCCTCACTATCATGGAGATGTCATGGCGATAATAAAGAAAGAATATTGGTACCAACATAAAGTGCTGAGGATGATGATCGTGATGTTCCAGCGACCGCCGGTGCCCACGAGTTCCATCAGGTCCTCAAACCTGTTGACCTCGGCGAAGGCTTCCTCTTCTCTGCTGTCTCGCACCTCCGTCTCGTTCCTGACGTCTTCTGAAGTCATGTCCTCGGTATAAATGTCGTTCCTGGAACTTACATCCTTCCTCTTCAGTTCCCTTAAGTCGTATTCCTCTTTCTGAATGTCCTGAAGTAATGAAGAACATTACATGAACTGTATAGCAACGCTCATCCAACTGAACAGAAATAACACGAGTGTTTTCGGTCTAACTTTAGATCCTCCTCAGACGAGAGTAATCTGGTATGTATGTATGTATGTATAATGTTCGTCGGAACCGGGGTTCTGGCACGGGTCTTAATCTCGTGATAACCCGTCTCTGACTCCCGAAGGGAAATCGGTTCTACACTGTTGCAGCATATGCTGCTCAAACAGTGTTCTTTGGGCTCCTGACAGGAACACTGCTTCGTATGCATGATGACAGTAAACTGGCTGGAAGGAAGCTAATATATAGGTAAACAATACAGGTGCACACGAGAAAGGAACACTAAAATAAGCATTCTAATCATAAAACTAAAGAGATGAGGAGAACTGCAACATGTGTACTGGCTCATGCGCAATAATTTCACCTGTCAGAGTGCTCACGTGTCCTCAGCTCCATGGATAAACTGTGTTTTCAGACATTTTTCATAATTTCGGAGTGGAGGGAGAGAGAGAGGGGAGGGGAGGGAGGGAGAGAGAGAAAGAAAGAGAGGGGGAGAGAGAGTGTGAGAGGGGGGGGAGAGAGGAGAGAGAGAGAGAGGGGAGAGAGAGAGAGAGAGAGAGAGAGAGAGGAGAGAGAGAGAGAGAGAGAGAGAGAAGAGAGAGAGAGAGAGAGAGAGAGAGAGAGAGAGAGTGAGAGAGAGAGAGAGAGAGAGGGAGAGGGAGAAGAGAGCCGTGACACTGACTAACTTACCTGCTTGTTATTTTCCATGGCAACATGTTATTTGAGCAATGCGTAATTTTCCTACAACAATAGCGATAACTACCCATGATTCAGCTGCCTGGAGGTGTATTTGTGTGTACATGGGAGAGACAGATTGTGTACTTGGGAGAGACAGATTGTGTACATGGGAGAGACAGATTGTGTACATGGGAGAGACAGATAGAGACTACGGTTAAGTCCTCACCGAGGTTACCTGCTGAAATGTACTAGCTATTTCTGCCTGCTAAATACTAGGGTCATCGACTACCTAGTAGAGTCATTGAAGCTAAAAGCTTGGGTAGCTTCAAATATAGGTTAGATGAATACAAGGGAGGGCGCCCTGTAATATGCGCCATTTTGCCAAGAACAGGAGTTGGAAATGATTGGTTGTCCAGGGCAAATGTTGTTAATTGCTGGCTGTACGAACACTGTTAAGACAATGCAGTGCCATTTATAGACAACTGGGACCTCTTCTATGGCAGAAATGACATGTATGCCATAAATGGGGGGAGGGAGGGTTCACTTATCTAGGTCTGGGATGGGGGCACTGGCCAATGCAGTGGAGGGAGCTGTTAGTGGTATGAGTTTTTGTGGGAAAGCAATGAGCTATGATGCAGTAGAAATGGGCAGGACGAATTCTCAGTGTTGCGATACTGTTAGTTTCAGGGAAACCAGGTACATGTAGAATGAGGTAGAGTTATTGATAAATATTGATTTGCCAGTGGCACTAGGTGATAAGAACAGTATGTTGGGTATAAGGACACAAGGGCAACTAATGTGACATTTTATTGTGGCAAAGTTTCGCTCTCCAGGATCTTTATCAAGCCGTTCCACAGGTAATGGCTTGATAAAACACCTGGAGAGCGAAACGTTGCCACAATAAAATGTCACATTAGTTGCAGTTGTGCCCTTTTACCCAACTTATTGTCGGTAATTCTACCAACATTAATACGATAAGAACAGTAACAGAGAGAGTGAAACAGCAGAAATGAACAGGGAAGGAAAAGAGAAGACAGGATTTTCAAATATATACAAAAAGTTGTAGCTCTAGAAACAAGATGGAGGAGTTCAGATTAGCTGCCAGTGCGGGTAACAATGATATATTTGCCATAACTGAGACGTGGTTTAATATGAAGAATTGGTACATGCACGCTAAATGTCACATTCAGGATTTCAAGTTATTTCACATTGATAGAAGAAATGGGAAGGGGAGGGGCTATATATGTCAGGGAACACTTAAAATGCTGCATATATGTTGGTATTAAAACTGAAAGAACACACACAGAGTCTATCGGGGTAGACTTTTCGGATGGGCGTGAGAAATTGATTGTAGGCGTGATTTGCCGTCCCCCAAACTTGGTCAGAAGGAATTGTTATGCCACAAGTCACAATAATATAGTAATTCTAGGAGACTTTAACTTTAGTCAAACAGATTGGAATTCATTGACTGGAATTCATTCCTGGAGGCAGCTCAAAACTGTTTCTCGGAGCAGTTTGTGACAGAACCAACAAGGGTAAATAACTTGCTTGATTTGGCTCTGGCTAACAAGCATAACCTTATTAATAATCTAGAGATTACAGAGGAACTTGGTGAGAGCAACCACAAATCAATTACCTATAGTATCGACTGGAAGTATGCTAGTAGGGATAAATCAGTGACAGTCCCAGATTTTCGCTTAGCAGATTACAATTTGCTTAGAGATCACCAGTCGTCTGTAAACTGGAGAACAGAAGAGAACTATCAATATGACAGTGTTCTGAACGCTATATAAGCTGCCCAAAGAACATTTATTCCGTTTAGAGAAATGAGATCGAATAGAAATAATCCCAAATGGATGCACAATAGGCTCCAACGTCTTTTAGAGCAGAAGAAAGAAATTTATAGGCATGTTAAATGAGGTGAGAGCCATCTCGTAGATCGGTATACACACAAAAGCTAAACGGCGAATGATTCAAAAACAAATTCAAAAGGCTTTTTTTTCCAGGTATTTAGAACAAAGGTTAGAGAAAAGATAGGTTTCCTTAATAACAATTTTGGGCATCTTACTGATAAGGAGAACGAAACTGTGCTCAATTTTCAATAATTATTTCCTCTCGGTTTTCACACAGGAAGACATTAACAATAATTAATTTTTATAGTGGACCTGAAAAATATAAATTATGTAATATCAGAGTAAACCATACCCCCGACCGGGATTGAACCCGCGGTCATAGAGTCTCAAAACTCCAGCCCGTCGCGTTAGCCACTAGACCAGCTAGCCACAATAAGATTCATCCAACTAGGTATATTTCTACACCATAGGAAGGTTAGCACAGGCACCTCTGTGACCACAAATGCAAGTTTTAACAGACGAATCTCCAGCTAGCGTGGCCGTGACGAACTCTAGCTCAAGTCCCTTCACTGCCGTCAACATGACTCGAGAAATCGTAATGACACGATTGCAAACAAACCATACCCCCGGCCGGGATTGAAACTGGCATAGAGTTCTCAAACTCCAGCCGTCGCGATTGCCACTAGACCAGCTGCACCCCAATAAAATTATCCAATAAGTATATTTCTAGCTCATAGGAACGGTAGCACAGGCACCTCTGTGACCACAATGCAAGTTTTACAGACGATCTCCAGCTGCGTGGCCGTGACGAACTTAGCTCAAGTCCCTTCACTGCGTCAACATGACTCGAGAAATTTGTAATGACCACGATTGCAAACAAACCATACCCCCGGCCGGCAGTGAAGGGACTTGAGCTAGAGTTCGTCACGGCCACGCTAGCTGGAGATCCGTCTGTAAAAACTTGCATTTGTGGTCACAGAGGTGCCTGTGCTAACCTTCCTATGGTGTAGAAATATACCTAGTTGGATGAATCTTATTGTGGCTAGCTGGTCTAGTGGCTAACGCGACGGGCTGGAGTTTTGAGACTCTATGACCGCGGGTTCAATCCCGGCCGGGGGTACGGTTTGTTTGCAATCGTGTCATTACGATTTCTCGAGTCATGTTGACGGCAGTGAAGGGACTTGAGCTAGAGTTCGTCACGGCCACGCTAGCTGGAGATTCGTCTGTAAAAACTTGCATTTGTGGTCACAGAGGTGCCTGTGCTAACCTTCCTATGGTGTAGAAATATACCTAGTTGGATGAATCTTATTGTGGCTAGCTGGTCTAGTGGCTAACGCGACGGGCTGGAGTTTTGAGACTATGACCGCGGGTTCAATCCCGGCCGGGGGTATGGTTTGTTTGCAATCGTGTCATTACGATTTCTCGAGTCATGTTGACGGCAGTGAAGGGACTTGAGCTAGAGTTCGTCACGGCCACGCTAGCTGGAGATTCGTCTGTAAAAACTTGCATTTGTGGTCACAGAGGTGCCTGTGCTAACCTTCCTATGGTGTAGAAATATACCTAGTTGGATGAATCTTATTGTGGCTAGCTGGTCTAGTGGCTAACGCGACGGGCTGGAGTTTTGAGACTCTATGACCGCGGGTTCAATCCCGGCCGGGGGTATGGTTTGTTTGCAATCGTGTCATTACGATTTCTCGAGTAATATCAGAGTCACTGGGGATATGGTAATCAAACAGGTAGACCGACTGAAGCAAAATAAATTCCTGGGCCTGATGAATTTTTTCCCAGGGTTCTTAAGAAGTGTAAAATGGAACTTTGTGAACCATTAACTAACATTTTAATATATCCCTTCACACAGGTGTAGTGTCAGATATGTGGAAGACAATTAATGTAATTCCTATTTTTAAAACAGGTGATAAGCCGTTACCATCAAATTACAACCCAATAAGCCTGACATCAGTTGTAGGCAGATTACTAGATTCAATTATAGCTAATTTTATAAGAAGCCATCTTGATAAGCATAAGCAAAATTTTATCTATGATTCTCAGTATGGATTCACAAGGGGCCGTTCCTGCCTAATTAACGTTCTTATGAAGAAAGATTGAAATCTCTTAAGTTACATTCTCTTGTAAGACGAAGAATGAGAGGAGACTTGATTGAAGTATATAAGTGGAAGATTGGATATTAATAAAGGAGTATAAATAAAGTCCTGAGGATATCCCTCACTGAGAGAACTCGTAATAATGGATTCAGACTGGATAAGTTTAGATTTAGAAAGGATATAGGACAGTATTGGTTTGGAAATAGAGTAGTCGATCAATGGAACAGTTTGTCTAGCAGGGTTATTGAAGCTAAAACTTTGGATAGATTCAAATTTAGGTTAGATAAATAA